TAAAGGGGGTACGCTGAACGGCCAATAACCTTGTCCATGAAAACGAGAGAAGAAGAAATAATCGAAAAAAGCATTAGTATGAAAAGTGAGAGAGAGAGAGAACATAAACAAACAGAGAGAAATGGGAAAGGAGGCAGGAATATAAAAAAAAAAAAAAAAAATATAACAGAAGTAAAGAAAATTAAAAAAAAGAGGAAATAAGTATTCATACATTACCAACCTCATTTCAGACGGTAAAATATACAATTTTATATACCCGTCCGTTCTTTAGGGACTACGTATGTAAAGTAACTAGTCTATTAAAAGTAATTTCTAGGCTACACAAAACAAATGAATTAGATTCCATAACGAAGATATTTGATTAAGGAACCTAATTCAGATTTTTTTTCTTCATACTTATAGTTAATTGATAACTTATATTGAATTTCATTATGTATCTTACAAGCTACTGTTTTTATTTTCTCTTTAAAGATAAGCAGTAGGGCATGTAGCAATGTAAAATACTTTAGGCACATCGGTTTGTTTACATACTGTACTGATACAATGTGATACAATATCTTTCGTGCTTAGAAATTATAAAGGAACAGTAGATATACAGATATAAGAGCTATAACTATGTTCAAGCACATTATGTGTTTTTTTATACAAAACACACGCACGTACACTCACACACACACACATATAAAACATCATAAACCTAAGAAAATACTTACATGCTACCTTACGCATATGTAACCATGTATATTTGCATACCATGTACAGTATATGTGACACACACACGCTGACACAGTTAAAGCATGACAGAGTCCAGTGAGACCGGGCGTCAACATCAAGAGGCGACGACGAGAAGTCACAGATACAGTCATGTGAATGGGTGCACACAGCAACACACATACAACATCACTATTACAAGCAACAGCGACGCGCAGACAGCAACACACACATGATAAACAAAGAACTGCGGTAAGCGTCATGACAAAATCAAAAGGAGGGAGGAGAGGAGAGAAACAAGCGCGGAGGAAATGATATGGCGAGTAATAGTATACGAAGTTTATAAAATAAAAAAAAATTTTTATGATAGAATGTATATTTAGTGTTATGTATCTAACAAGTCACTAAAAATATAGAGAAGTGTATATGGAGCCTGTAGTTACTAGCGGCATGAAGTACATTGATGTTTGGATGGAAATCAATATTCATAACGGAATTAGATACAGATCATCTACTAACAATTTCATCAAATACATAAAATTAATTCGGCAGGTAGTGAAGGTATGTCAGAGGAAGAGGATGTGTAACCAATCGGAGGATACAGTGGCGAATGTGTGGAGAAGTTCGGGGTGAGCACACGCACACACACACACACAAAAGCAACAACACACACACAACACACCGAAGAGGCGATCATTATAGTAATACGATAAAGATAGATATTATAATTAGGTAGGTAATAATGAAATTATATTAATATATATATATTATATTAATTATATTATAGAATTATATATATAATAATGGGATGAATATATTATATATATGTATAATATATTACATATATATATATGATATATATAAATGGATATATATGTATGTATGATGTGTATATATATACTAAAATAATGTGTGTATACTATGGCGTAACATATATACTACGTATATATGATATTATAATATATATATATATATTATTTAATATATATATAATATAATAAGTATAATATATATGCACATCCAAACGGGCGGACCATCTAAACAGAGTGAAAAGAAACAAAATCCCTTAGTCGCGCCGCGCTCCCCGTCTCTTCCGGAGCCTCCCTCAGCCGCTTCTCCGTCGGCCAGCAGAAGAGAAAGGCCGCGGGGGAGGCGGGGGCGGGCACTATACTAACGACTGCTGCGCTGCACGAGCAGTGGGTGACTGCCGGAGGTTGTCCCTCGTCACCCAAGGCAGGATCGCCCCAGGCCGTTACAGGACTACTTAACACCTAGGAAGCTTAAGTCATAGGACAGTGGTTAAATCTATGGGTATGGGCTTGTAGGCTAAGTCCGACACAGATAAAGTCATTTATACTGTACATTGAAGCGACATACAAACACGCATTTGTATATGGATAAGTATATTTATAATGATAATTATTATTATATTATGAATATATATATATAGTATAAGTAATAATACATATTATATTAGTAGATATATATAATTATACTAATATATTATATATAACTACATATGACTATCTAACTATGTGTGTGTGTGTGTGCTCAGATGTGTGTGTGTGTGCATGAATGGTATCGTATCAAGTATACATACAAAAACAGCACATTATCTTCTATCCTATCTATCTGATATCTATCTAAAGATCTATCTAATCTTATTAGTCATGAAATCTCACCATATGAAATCTAATTTAGTCTATACAAATATGCTATTACTATGCTATATATAACATAAGATACACATGTATGAAGAACAGATGACAGTATAAGTTATAGAACAAACATACTGAATGTACAGAACAACATCGTGCAAGACCAGTGAGCAAACAGCATTATTATAAATATTATAGATATACATGACATACAATATATATATATATATATATATGATATACTTATATGTATATGATAGGATATAGTATATACATATAATATATTTATATAGTACATGCATAGAGCATAAACTAATATATAGTAGTATACTAGAGATGTATATATAATATATCTACCAAAACCATAAAAGATTAGATACACTATAGTATAATAGGCTAGCGATAAAATATATCAGAATAATAAACATAGATGAACATTAATATTGAATAAGGTGTGACAAGGACTGTGAGATTATATGATAAAGATAGCGCAGCAGGAGAGCGACACGGAGGGAGAGAGAGAGAGAGAGATATCGGGAAGAATTAGAAAGGGAGAAGAGAAGATAAAAGAGAGAGGAAAATATGAGGCACAACACAAGACATGCAACACACAGCAAACATCATTTGCACAAACACGCACACACACAACTTATGACACACTCAGGCATCATGGGAGACACGATTGAGATAATAGTATATGGTTATACGACAATATAGGAGAGGCTAATATATATGTGTAGTAGGTAATAGGTTAATTATATAGTAGAAAAATCATTAGCGAGAAGTTCCCGCCACAACAATATTATTACTGACTAATATACAATGTATAAATATTATATAGAAAAGTAGGCATAACTTATGACCTAATGACACATGTATATATATAGTAGTATATATATAGGACTGGTGGACATTAAAATTATAAATATAAAAATATATACTATATATATTATATATATGTTGGTATAATAGCTATATAACATATATATATACTTAGTATAGCGTTATTTATATTCTATAATAATAGTTAAGATATTGATAGAGGTTGATGTGTGATCAGTAGTGATATAAGGCTGATATAATAGTATAATATATATGCGCTATGCATGTATGTATGTATGTATGGTCGTTGGGTGGTATTACGAGTGTATGATAATAGTGAATACATATCGCTACGCATAGATTACAGGTACGATTATAGCTATGTGGATGAAATATGTTGATATTATCCTGATGTAAGAGTATAATATGATGTATATAATTTATATGTAGCATATGGGTATCCTTACGTAGCATATATAGTTATAGGCGTATATAAGGTGATATAATGCCATTTAGTCGATACGATTATGATGGTTGCATAGCAGCCACACACAGCGACCAACATCAGGTGCACACACACACACACAGCATCGCAACACCACACACGACGGACGACACCACAGCACACATTATAATATATAGAATATTCTATATATGTATGTTGACAGTGGTATACAATATAAAAAACTTAGATAAAGAATTTTATAGAAGGGGATTGAAACGAATAGTCATACCAAGGCTATTACTTAGTATGCTAATATGATCGCAACATAGATGCACATAGAGATCACGCGAGTATGGTATAGGTGAGATAGAGGGGAGTAAAGGTAGATTTATATATATATATGCCGTATAAGTAGACAGCAGCGCAGGTAACGTGGTTATGGATTTGTTGTTGGTGTTGTGGGTGTGCGTATGGATATAATCTTTTGATGGGTTATATAGGACAGGTATGTTATAGGTATATATAGATATACCTCAAGATATGGTATAATATTAAGTATAATATAATATATATATAATTATATGTATATAATATTGTATACGTATAGTAAGTAGTATGCTGTATAATATATATATATAGTTATGTACTGTGATGCATGGTAATGGTTGTTATGTGTTGATGGGTGGGAGTCGGTAGGTGGAAGTATGAAATAGCAGTAGGTGTGGTATATAGATTGGATATATATTATATATATATATTATGGATGATATATAATGTGTGGATGTGTGTGTGACTCGTGTGTCGTGGTGGTGTGTAGATAGTCGCTTGTGTGTGTGTGTGTGTGTGTGTGTGTGTGTTGTGGTGTAGTTGTGTGTGGTAGTTGTGTATATATATATATATATATTATATATATATATATATTATATATATATATGATATATATATGTGTGTGTGTGTGTGTGTGTGTGTGTGTGTGTGTGTGTGTGTGTGTGTTGTGTGTGTGTGTGGATATATTATTATATATATATATATATATATATATATATATATAGTTATAATATATATATATATATATATTATAATATATATATATATATATATGTATATATATCTATATATATATATATATATATATATATATTTATATAGTACACATGTATTTATGTATATACATATTTATATGTGTGTGTGTCTGTTTTACAGTATAATTCTAAGACTATATTTTCATCTTTCGTCACCAAAAACACCTATAAACAAGTTTTCAGTAATCTTATCCCCATACACAAAATTCACTAAATGTTAGATATCTTGAACAATATACATATAAAGGAGAGGTTTGTATTTATCAGAAATAATTAGAAAAA